AGAATGTGTAGGTTATATTCCCAGCATCAGTACAGCATTACAAATGATTCCACTGAGCTAAATAACCACGGTCACAGATGCGCAGCCTCATAAAACACGATTAAAACGGACAAAAACAGGCCCTGAATCTTTGAATTGTCATGTTGCTGTAAGATGTGCATTTGAGGAGTGTATTAAACTGGCCTACCAACATTTTGCACACATTTTGGAGCTCTGTGTTACTCCCTAAATGTTAAGAAGTTAAGTTATACTGCATATCTTACAGCTTTCACAAAATGCAACACAAGTGCAATGGTAATAGCATGTGTTTTGGTGATATATCAGGCACTACCATAGTATTCTTTAAAGTACCTCTTGGAGTGCCATGCAAACACCTTGGTACAATAAAATAATCATTCAGTAGCAAAGTACCTTCTGAATTCAATCCCTGTACAATAGAACATCAACAGTTTTGGAGGGGTTGCCAAGTCTCTGGATTTAAATTCTGGCATCTTTTCTCTAATATAATCATCTCACACAGTGACACTATAGTCATACTGTACTAGATTTGTGTGAAAATTAGAAACAAACTTGCTACACTGTAAAAATGGAAAGATAAGGCACCATTTTGGTTCCTCAGCTAGCATGTTGGCAGAACCCTCTGAAGAACCATCTTGTCAGGGTATACTTTAAATATAATATTGCATACTCAACACAAGGTTCATAATAGTACCTTAAAGGGATACTCCATTTTTTTTGGAAATAGGCTCATTTTACAACTCCCCCAGAGTTAAACTGTTGAGTTTTACCGTTTTTGAATCCATTCAGCCGATCTCCGGTTCTGGCGGTACCACTTTTAGCATAGCTTAGCATACATCATTGAAGTGGACAAGACCATTAGCATTTCTCAACAAACAAAAAATGACCAAAGAGTTTCGATATATTTTTCCTATTTAAAACTTGACTCTTCTGTAGTTACATCGTGCACTAAGACCGACGGAAAATGTAAAAGTTGCGATTTTCTAGGCTGATATGACTAGGAACTATACTCTCATTCCTGCGTAATAATCAAGAAACTTTACTGCCGTACCATGAGAGCAGCAGGCGCAATGATATGACGCAGCGCCTGAAAATAGGCTACCTTCCGTCAACACAACGGAACTATTTTCAGGCGCTGCGTCATATCATTACGCCTGCTGCTTTTTTTTAGAAATGCTAATGGTCTTGTCCACTTCAATGATGTATGCTAAGCTATGCTAAAAGTGGTACCGCCAGAACCGGAGATCGGCTGAATGGATTCAAAAACGGTAAAACTCAACAGTTTAACTCTGGGGGAGTTGTAAAATGAGCCTATTTCCAAAAAAAGTGGAGTATCCCTTTAAGCGTAAATATTATTACTCTAAGGAACTAATATAATTTGCTTCTTTTAAGGTACAAACTGTCCATTTAAGGGTACAGCCCCAGTGGCAAGCTATTTTCCACCATTTGTTTCCACTTTGAAAGAGCTTCAAATATATATTTCAAGTGATTTCACCCTTTTCTTTATAATGGGGTTACTGGTTGAATCATCTTTAGCACTTTTAGAAACGCATGGGTTCCAATTTCTAAGTTCTTCAGTAAACTGGCCTTTCTGAAAAGGTGCCTAGAGCTTTCTAAGGCAGGGTTTCCCAAAAGGGGTTCACAAGTTGATCTATCTAAATCTAATAATGACATAAAATATAAACTTAAAATAAATAAACAGGGCACGATACATAGCTTTGTGACATAGCTTAGTGCGGTTTTCAAATCAAAGGCTGATATAAAGGCTGTGTTTCAAAAAGAAGCGCGGCACTGTGTTTACGCGAGCAGTTTGGGATTGGTGTGATTGGTTGAACTCCATTTCTGCATGTGCTGAAAGTTTGATATGCATTTTGGAATGTAACGTGCACTAGGTTTACTCTATTTACACATTTGCATGATTTCCAAAATCTTTGGAGACAGAAGTTTACAGCATTTCAGACGTATTCCACCAAAATAAAAGCTCAAGGATTCAATTTTTTTTAAAAGCTTGAGGGTATTGAAGTTTGAAAATGGAGAATTTAAAGGAGTGGTTCACATTAAAATGAAAATTAGCCCATGATTTACTCACCCTCAAGCCGGTGTATATGACTTTCTTCTTTTAGACGAATACAATCGGAGTTATATTAAATGTCCTGGCTCTTCCAAGCTTTATAATGGCATTGGATTGGAACCAACAGATTGAAGTTTAAAAAAGTGCATCCATCTGTCATAAACGAACTCCACACACAGTTTTGGGGGGTTAATAAAGGCCTTCTGAAGCAAAGTGATGAGTTTGTGTAAGAAAAATATTCATATTTAAAGCTTTATAAAGTAAATTAACTAGCTTTCGGCCAAAAGGTTTGCGTTTATATAATATATATATACATATATATATATATATATACATATATATATATATATATATATTATTGTTAATATATATACTTATATATGTGTGTGTCTGTGTGATATACATACACACACACACACATACACTCACCGGCCACTTTATTAGGTACACCTGTCCAACTGCTCGTTAACACTTAATTTCTAAGCAGCCAATCACATGGTGGCAACTCAGTGCATTTAGGCATGTAGACATGGTCAAGACAATCTCCTGCAGTTCAAACCGAGCATCAGTATGGGGAAGAAAGTTGATTTGAGTGACTTTGAACGTGGCATGATTGTTGGTGCCAGAAGGGCTGGTCTGAGTATTTCAGAAACTGCTAATCTACTGGGATTTTTACGCACAACCATCTCTAGGGTTTACAGAGAATGGTCCGAAAAAGAAAAAACATCCAGTGAGCGGCAGTTCTGTGGGCGGAAATGCCTTGTTGATGCCAGAGGTCAGAGGAGAATGGCCAGACTGGTTCGAGCTGATAGAAGGGCAACAGTGACTGAAATAACCACTCGTTACAACCGAGGTATGCAGCAAAGCATTTGTGAAGCCACAACACGCACAACCTTGAGGCGGATGGGCTACAACAGCAGAAGACTCCACCGGGTACCACTCATCTCCACTACAAATAGGAAAAAGAGGCTACAATTTGCAAGAGCTCACCAAAATTGAACAGTTGAAGACTGGAAAAATGTTGCCTGGTCTGATGAGTCTCGATTTCTGTTGAGACATTCAGATGTTAGAGTCAGAATTTGGCGTAAACAGAATGAGAACATGGAACCATCATGCCTTGTTACCACTGTGCAGGCTGGTGGTGGTGGTGTAATGGTGTGGGGGATGTTTTCCTGGCACACTTTAGGCCCCTTAGTGCCAATTGGGCATCGTTTAAATGCCACGGCCTACCTGAGCATTGTTTCTGACCATGTCCATCCCTTCATGGCCACCATGTACCCATCCTCTGATGGCTACTTCCACCATGTCACAAAGCTCTAATCATTTCAAATTGGTTTCTTGAACATGACAATGAGTTCACTGTACTAAAATGGCCTCCACAGTCACCAGATCTCAACCCAATAGAGCATCTTTGGGATGTGGTGGAACGGGAGATTCGCATCATGGATGTGCAGCCGACAAATCTGCGGCAACTGTGTGATGCCATCATGTCAATATGGACCAAACTCCCTGAGGAATGCTTCCAGCACCTTGTTGAATCTATGCCACGAAGAATTGAGGCAGTTCTGAAGGCAAAATGGGGTCCAACCCGTTACTAGCATGGGGTACCTAATAAAGTGGCCGGTGAGTGTATATGTATATATATTCATACATTCATGACACACACACATTTATTTATTTATATATATATATATATATATATATATATATATATATATATATACATTACACACATATATAAACAAACTTTTATGTTAGATGCAATTAACCATGATTAATCAATTTGACAGCACTAATAATAATATAATAATAATTATTATTATTATCATTCTATTTTTATGCAAAATATAAACATTAATTATAAATATATATATAAATATTAAATATTTTATTTATTTACTTGCACTTCATGTGACCTTTAACCAACATCAAAAAATTGTGAACATGCAAGTGTGTCATTAAATTAATTAAATATTAACTTAAAATCGTAGGGGGTACTTCAAATAAAAAATTTTATGTCTAAGGTGTTTGGCTGAAGAAAAACAAACAAAAGCTGCTCTAGGGGGTTCTGCAAATGTCACAATCCGAGGAACCACAAACGGTGCCTCAAGCATCTCTTCATTTTTACTATAGTATAAGAAAATGAATTCTGTTGGACTTTTAAGCCAGAGCAATGATTTTAATATCCATTGTGCATATTTCAAACATATGACAGTAAGCACGAATGCATAAATCTGAATCTGCATGTTAGTTATCAGATGCTTGACCATTTAAAATGCTACACTTGCTTCTGCAAACCAACAACACAAGAGCACAAAGCCGTATCCTATTTTTCTGTAAATTCCTACAGTATAAATAATCTTGTTTTTATTACGGATGGAAAGACCATTTACAACAACAGACGTTAATCTTACCACACTTCCATTTGTGACCTGTGCTTTTAATTTTAATATCTCAAGAGCAAGGTGATAGGTTGTGGTCTCCACTGTTCCTCAATGATTTGCTGAAAGCACATGATGCCCTTGGCAACACAAAGTTGCTGCCTCCTCTATTTCAGCAGGGTAAACAAACCATACTAATACATATAGGTACGTTCAAAAAATGAATCATACTTCTGATTAATCTCTCACTTATTAAGCATATCACAGTTTGTGCAGTTGTTGCTAACATTAATAAACCATGCAGAAATTCCCAAGGGCAATATTTTTTTTTCCACGTCTGGATGCAAATATATAGCCTACATTTTAAACTTTAATTCCCATGTATTGCAGCTGGGAATGAACACTCCTGCAGCACACCTTCCATTGAAGATTAATGTTACAAGTTGTCCATGCGGAGAAAAACTGACACCATACAAGGAAGAATACATGTAGGCTACAGTTCATCAAGTACGCTTTCAACAGCAACTTACCATAATACGCAGACGGGACTTGGGATTTTCTTGCCATCGCAGTGTGGACGTATGTTGCTGGGTTTGCAGGCGCAGGTTGGTTTGAAGAATACAGTGTCGCTCGCCAAAATCCAAGTTTAATAGATTCCCTCACGCGACTAACACGTCAGTGATGTTTACAGCGGAGCGTCATCAAACGTGCGGAGCGCGCGCACCGCTCAACATACTGTCACTGTAGTGAGCCAGTCCAGCATCAAAGGCTGGGTAAAGGTGTACAAAATAAAACCAACAAAGGTGTAGTTATCCAGTCTGGGACCGCACAAGCTGTCTGAAGAGCGATATGTCCATATTATAATTGGACTGAAATTTAATTTAGAAAAAAAAAAAAAAAAACATTTAGTAGGCTACTAACTTTCTTTGTGATGCTGCATTCACGTACAGTCAGAGATGCATGGAAATTTATCTAAAATAAAAATAAAATAAAAATACTGTGTGGAAAAATGTATTTAAATACAAATACAAAATACTGTATGAAAATTTTTTATTTAAATACAAATACAGTATTTTGAATGTATTTAAATACAAATTAGGCTACATTTGATTTTTTCCAAAGGCTTTAAAATACAAAATAGTATTTTGTATTTCAATTACGTATTTTAAATACATGCATCTAAAATACTGCCCATCCCTGCGTACACTATAGCCCAATTCTCCAAATAAAGACTGCAGTTACTTGCACATTTATGTGACACATTATAGGCAGAGCTTGAATGCAAGCTTATTTGGCCAGTGTATTTGTGTACGGGATAAATGAAGCTGTCCGTGAAGATAATGTTTTGAATGTCTCATACGCGTGACTTTAGCGCGACCTAGTGGCAACAAGCTACATTGCATCATCGAGGTACAGGGGTTGGACAATGAAACTGAGACGCTACCAATATAGTGTTGGAGGTTTACGCGCGGCCTGGTGGCCAATATTCACTGATTTTACATTCCATCAGTTAGACCAGGGTGTGGAGGTTGAATTAGCTGAGCAATAGCATGGTTGTACATAAAATATTGCAATCCACACTAATGGTAGACAGAGTTCAAAAGAGGACAAATCTTTGTTTTGCGTCTTGCTGGATCATCTGTGGACAGGACAGCAAGTCTTTGTGGTGTATCATGAGCTATGGTATCCTGGGTAATGTCGGCATGCCACATCCAAAACCACATCCAACTGTCGACGCAAGAGGTAGCTGTCAGGTACTAACCTGGACTGTCTCCAAAAACATAAAACCGCAGCTGTCCAAATCACTGCAAAATTAAATGCGCACCTGTTTCCACCAAAACTGTTTATCAGGAGCTCCAGAGACAATATTCCAGCCCGTTCTCATCCCAAGGCGTCATATACTGATATCTAACGCACATGGCACCCTTTAGCGTCAATATGAGACGCAGATATATGACGCCTCCTAGTGGTCTAACCACCCTAAAGGCCAATTTATACTTCTGCGTCGGGTGCGCGCAGTAGGTACGGCGTAGCATACGCACAGACGCGTACCATACGCCGTACCCTTCGCCGTAACCTGACGCGCACCTCCTCAAAAATGTAACTACACGTCGCGACGACGCGGACCGCAAGATCTGTGATTGGTCGGCTTGGTAGCATCGCGTTTCCTCCTATGCATTTCCGGCGTGTTCTTCTGCACCGCCCGCCATTTTTAAATTCTAAGTACAGCGAAACTGTTAAAAAAACTAAAAATTGACCTTTTCCACCTCGATAAGCTCCAACTCCAACATGATCTGCTCTCTTTCAGTCGCCATTGCTTGTAGTAACCTAAACTCAAAACAACCGCGAGGAATCTTCTTCTTCTTCTTGCCGCGAGGAATCTAAACACAGTGGAACATTAAAACCCTCCGCCGCCAACTAGCGTTTCGGCGCTGTACTGCAGAGCAACGCAGAACTAAACGCAGAAGTATAAATGCTCATGACGGCGTCGCCTACGTGCGTAGCCTACGCCGTACACTACGGCGTACACTCGACGCAGAAGTATAAATTGGCCTTAACACTACCCCAGACCTAAACCTCCCCATAACCGAAGCGTGTTATATAGACGCTAAAGGATGCCATGTGCGTCGGATGTAGACGCTTTGGCAAAAGCGTCAGTATATGACGCCTTGGGAATGAGAATGCGTTGAATATTCATGGTTGGGCTGCTATAACCAAACCTTTGGTCACTTGTGCCAATACCAAAGTTGGGTTTCTTTGTTGCCAACAGTGCATATCTTGGGCTGTGGTCAATGTGAAACATGTATTGTTCTCTGATGTGTCCACCTTCACTGTCTTTCCCGTATCTGTGGGAGTTACGGTGTGGAGGAGCCTCATAGAGGCTTACAGCCAGACTGTTGCTGCCCAGAATGAAGCACATGGGTGGATCACTGATGGTTTGGGCTGCAATATCATTCCCTACTGTGCTTAATGGGTCCGTTACTGCCAAGGACTATCGAACCATTCTGCAGGTTCATGTGCACCTAATGGTTCAAACATTGCACCCTGAAGGGGTGCCATGTATCAGCATGATAATGTACCAATACACACAGAAAGACTTGAATGGCAGAATAGTTTGATGAACACGAAAGTGAAGTTTAACATCTACCATGGCCTGCACAGTCACCAGACCTAAATATTTTTGAACCACTTTGGATTTTTGGATTTGGTATTTAGGAGGAGCAAGTCAGAAAACGTTTTCCTCCACCAGCATCAATTTTTTTAAATTATTATTATTTTTTTCATTTTTGCTTTTACTCCTAAATTACATAATCTCAAATGACGTAAAACACACAGCCCTATGATTTAGCTGAACTCTGCATTTAAATGACATTGCATTTCACGAAAAGTGATTTTTTTATTTTTTTATTTAAACAATATCGAGCAAGACAAGGCTGCATGTAAACAAAAGCAGCACTGATATTCGTGTGTGACTTTTACAAGTGATTTTATCCAGTTACCCATTGCTAACATATATTGACCAGTTAGTCCATATATTTATCCTTTGCCAATGAAAATAGCTGCACGCAAGACTTGACTAGACCAGAGGTGTCCAAACTCGTCCTGCAGAGTTTAGCTCCAGCTTGCCTCAACACACCTGCCTGGAAGTTTCTATCCCTAGTAATACCTTGATTAACTGGTTCAGGTTCATGTGTTAAATTAGGGTTAGAGCTAAACTTTACAGGACAGTGCCCCCCCAGGAGTAGAATTGGACACCCCTGGACTAGAATATTTAAGTATTTGCTCAAAGTAATCATTCTACACCACTCCAGGTTTTTATTCCAGCACACTGTTAAGAGAAACCCGACTCCGAGCGATGATTATGAAAAAAAAGAAAGAAAAAACGGTGCTCTGTCTTTCAAAACCTGTTCTTCCTTTCAGGCAAAATTACTAATCCGGTTGCAAAAAAATATATAAATGTCCTAGGAAAGAAACTGCTCTGCACTGCTTACATAAGTTGTACTAAATAACACCATTCATGGAACGTCAGTTCCGGCCACTTATCAAATTATTGTGTAGAATTTAATCTAGACTGTAAACATGAAAATAATCAATTTAGGGCTCCTCAAACTGATACCTGGGGAATCTCGTCACCCTTTTGAAAGTGCTTCAAATATCTTTTTGTGTATTTCAATATAAGCTCCAAATTTTCCCCTAGAGATTCTCCAGTAGGTCTAATATTATTATAATATGTTTATTTAATAACTTATCTGCATTAGTATTAAAAAAAAAAACATCCTGAGAGAAATAAGCCAAACCAAGCATAAAGCGGTTAAATCAGATTTTTATTTTATAATATCCTCCCTCATGTGCTGGGCTGGTGCTGTGCTTTGAATATCTTTTCTATCTGATGAGCTGTGGAATGAGGTGCTGCGATGGCAAACAATAAATTGAAAATCTATTTCTTTCTCCCTGAAGGCCTCATGTTTCTGCTCTCTATCCAAAATCTCAAATGCAACCTTAGCAACCGAATCAAATCTCTGCTCTCATTTGTGTGGAGGGTCATAAAGGGCCAAACCTGAGACATGTCAATCACTTTAAGCAGCTGGTAAAAGGTGGTCTGTGCCTTAGACGTGGCATTTTGAATTGGGTTGTCCATTCCCTGTCTTGCATTACTGCGGGATTGCAAATTGAAAGCTGCATAAAAATGCTACAATGTCTTCTCTAATAGCTCAGGATGTAAAATGTTATTTAATATGGTATATTTAAAGGTAAATTCTGTGTATTTTTGTCTTGGCATTAGAGCTATTTATAGGGCCGAAACAATTCAGAGCCAGTTGCTTTTATTTATTACAAACACATGGTTAAAAGGTTTGCAGACAGAGCTACACCATCACACATTAATGCAATACTTGTTTGTCTAAAGTCCCAGTAAGAAAAACAGTTTTCTCTTTGAGAGGCAGTTATAATATCACAAACAATGCTTAACAACACTAGATGGTGCCATATGCATGCAAATCTAGGATCCTATCCATTAAAAGGGAGAGCTGGTCATTTTGCAAGCCTCAAAGCAGTCTATCAAAGCTCAAACAAAACAGTTCCAGCAGCATAATTAAATTCTTATTAAACTAAATCGGCACGCTGTTATTTTTGACAGCTTAAGAAAAAAAAAGAAAAAAGAACTTACAGAACAATTTCTGGCACAAACAGGGGTAAACACAATAAATAAAATGTAAATATTTCACACTTATTCAGTCATGTGTACCACTATAGCACAATTAGGCCTACATCTGACATTGTTGTTACTGGTATTATCATATATATATTTTGCTTTTGAATTGAGGCCAACATTAGATCCTAACTATGACATTGTAAAAAAAAAAAAAAAAAAAAAAAAAAAAACATTCAGTAAAAAAAATAATAATAATCCTCTTCCCCCAATATCAAAATAGTATGTAATGTGATTTTATGATAATGAAATACCTGTTTGGCAGAGGTAGTTACAAATTATGAAAAATCACGATATACAAAGCATCAAAATATAATGAAATTCGTTTTATAACATTTAGTCTCTCTTCTTTTCCCGTCCTCTGAAAGCATCCATGAAATTTAAGGCCCCCAAGTACTTACCCAGGACAACTGATTGCTTGAATGGGATGACACTGTGAAGAAAAATTAACAATATTATTTATTTATTATATATATATATACTCACCGGCCACTTTATTAGGTACACCTGTCCAACTGCTCGTTAACACTTAATTTCTAAGCAGCCAATCACATGGTGGCAACTCAGTGCATTTAGGCATGTAGACATGGTCAAGACAATCTCCTGCAGTTCAAACCGAGCATCAGTATGGGGAAGAAGCAACATGACATCATGACTTTGCGTAAACACACGCCACTTTCAATTCAAGTGGCGTGTTATCTATACGCATTTTGAGATATCCGCGTGTATGTCCACGCCGAAATCTTTTGCGTGTATGTCTACGCCATTAAACGTCCGAGTGATTCCGCGTGTATGTGTACGCCGTTAAATGTCCGAGCGAAACGAAGCAAAATCTATATCTACATCTGTGGAGCGATATTTCTTTTCCTAGGATGGTAGGAGAAGACTCATAAATGGTATTAACCCCAGTGACGGGTAGGTTTAGGGACGGGGTTGGGGTAGGTCATATATTTATATATACATAATACAGTAATATAACGTTAAGTCAAAGGCGTTGATAAACACGCTGAAAAGCGGTTATGCGTGTTGATAGCACGCCAAAAATGGAAATACGAATTGGCGTGTCATACATACGCCATTTCATGAGATCAGTCTGGGAAGAAAGGTGATTTGAGTGACTTTGAACGTGGCATGATTGTTGGTGCCAGAAGGGCTGGTCTGAGTATTTCAGAAACTGCTAATCTACTGGGATTTTCACGCACAACCATCTCTAGGGTTTACAGAGAATGGTCCGAAAAAGAAAAAAACATCCAGTGAGCGGCAGTTCTGTGGGCGGAAATGCCTTGTTGATGCCAGAGGTCAGAGGAGAATGGCCAGACTGGTTCGAGCTGATAGAAGGGCAACAGTGACTGAAATAACCACTCGTTACAACCGAGGTATGCAGCAAAGCATTTGTGAAGCCACAACACGCACAACCTTGAGGCGGATGGGCTACAACAGCAGAAGACTCCACCGGGTACCACTCATCTCCACTACAAATAGGAAAAAGAGGCTACAATTTGCAAGAGCTCACCAAAATTGAACAGTTGAAGACTGGAAAAATGTTGCCTGGTCTGATGAGTCTCGATTTCTGTTGAGACATTCAGATGTTAGAGTCAGAATTTGGCGTAAACAGAATGAGAACATGGAACCATCATGCCTTGTTACCACTGTGCAGGCTGGTGGTGGTGGTGTAATGGTGTGGGGGATGTTTTCCTGGCACACTTTAGGCCCCTTAGTGCCAATTGGGCATCGTTTAAATGCCACGGCCTACCTGAGCATTGTTTCTGACCATGTCCATCCCTTTATGGCCACCATGTACCCATCCTCTGATGGCTACTTCCACCATGTCACAAAGCTCTAATCATTTCAAATTGGTTTCTTGAACATGACAATGAGTTCACTGTACTAAAATGGCCTCCACAGTCACCAGATCTCAACCCAATAGAGCATCTTTGGGATGTGGTGGAACGGGAGATTCGCATCATGGATGTGCAGCCGACAAATCTGCGGCAACTGTGTGATGCCATCATGTCAATATGGACCAAACTCCCTGAGGAATGCTTCCCTGAGGAATATATACACTCACCGGCCACTTTATTAGGTACCCCATGCTAGTAACGGGTTGGACCCCCTTTTGCCTTCAGAACTGCCTCAATTCTTCGTGGCATAGATTCAACAAGGTGCTGGAAGCATTCCTCAGGGAGTTTGGTCCATATTGACATGATGGCATCACACAGTTGCCGCAGATTTGTCGGCTGCACATCCATGATGCGAATCTCCCGTTCCACCACATCCCAAAGATGCTCTATTGGGTTGAGATCTGGTGACTGTAGAGGCCATTTTAGTACAGTGAACTCATTGTCATGTTCAAGAAACCAATTTGAAATGATTAGAGCTTTGTGACATGGTGGAAGTAGCCATCAGAGGATGGGTACATGGTGGCCATAAAGGGATGGACATGGTCAGAAACAATGCTCAGGTAGGCCGTGGCATTTAAACGATGCCCAATTGGCACTAAGGGGCCTAAAGTGTGCCAGGAAAACATCCCCCACACCATTACACCACCACCACCAGCCTGCACAGTGGTAACAAGGCATGATGGTTCCATGTTCTCATTCTGTTTACGCCAAATTCTGACTCTAACATCTGAATGTCTCAACAGAAATCGAGACTCATCAGACCAGGCAACATTTTTCCAGTCTTCAACTGTTCAATTTTGGTGAGCTCTTGCAAATTGTAGCCTCTTTTTCCTATTTGTAGTGGAGATGAGTGGTACCCGGTGGAGTCTTCTGCTGTTGTAGCCCATCCGCCTCAAGGTTGTGCGTGTTGTGGCTTCACAAATGCTTTGCTGCATACCTCGGTTGTAACGAGTGGTTATTTCAGTCACTGTTGCCCTTCTATCAGCTCGAACCAGTCTGGCCATTCTCCTCTGACCTCTGGCATCAACAAGGCATTTCCGCCCACAGAACTGCCGCTCACTGGATGTTTTTTCTTTTTCGGACCATTCTCTGTAAACCCTAGAGATGGTTGTGCGTGAAAATCCCAGTAGATTAGCAGTTTCTGAAATACTCAGACCAGCCCTTCTGGCACCAACAATCATGCCACGTTCAAAGTCACTCAAATCAACTTTCTTCCCCATACTGATGCTCGGTTTGAACTGCAGGAGATTGTCTTGACCATGTCTACATGCCTAAATGCACTGAGTTGCCGCCATGTGATTGGCTGCTTAGAAATTAAGTGTTAACGAGCAGTTGGACAGGTGTACCTAATAAAGTGGCCAGTGAGTGTATATATATATATATATGCACATATGTGGGTCTCTGAACACATGAGTTACTAAAGTCTGAAATCAAATCATCTAAAACTACAAATGGCTCACATTACAACATATTAAAATCTTTTTGTTGTTGTTGTTGTTGTTGTATCCAGACATCCTATCCACAAAGAGAGAAATTATCATTTCAATTTGGAGCAAGGTGTCCAGAAAAAGGCCAATGTTCAGGACTGAAAATAATGACCAGGCCTGGAAATGAGATCATTCACACCTAATGATCACCTAATGCACTGAGATTCAACACTCATCGTCATGCTGGAATAACACATTAACAAATGTAATTTGTGATTTGATGATTTAAGTGATAGGATTAGAATCAGGACAGTTACACATGCTTCTGTAAAAAAGGAAAGAGGGCATTAACATAATAAAGAATGCCCCTTCCCATTCAAATACTGCAGCCTTGATAATTATGACTCTACTGTCCAAAACACATTAAAGACCAAACACAGATTGCAATTAATTGGCCAATTTTATGCACCGAAGTCTGTCTCACAGCCCACACAAACAGGTGTTGCTTTATCTTCTGAGTTAGCATCAGTAATTGTCACAGCTGCATAAGAAAGAGCTTCTTAAGGGTCCTCTTTTTTCAAGCCACGGCCGGGTTAAAGGTGTTATGAAATACAGGCACTAGTGCAGCTGGAAAGCATTTCACCTACAACTGATACAACTTGCGAGACTGGTTGCAGCTGTGAAACTGAAACTGAGTTTCTCCTTAAAAACAATGTTCTTAATCATTCATACGAAATAAGCAGACGAATACAGTCTCGTAACCACAGCAATGTGCATAATTAAATTTAAGTTCATAAATACAACAAGCAAACAAAAATAAGTCATTTTCACCTAAGCAAAGGTGAAGTCAGCACAGGAACACAATGAATCACAGTGTTCCTGTCATTCATTCAGTGTCTTAATGTCCTCGGGGAGATGAGTAAATCCACACACACTCAACCCTGTCCTATGAGGTCAGTGCTTGAGAAACAGTTTTGTTCCGTGCCGTTGCTTAAGGCTAAACTCTCAGACCTTTAGTTCACTCCAGATACTTCTCTCAAATCCACTGGCTCCCTCTTGAGTCTTTACTGCAGCAGATTTCCTTTGACATCAACAGTCTATAGTGAAATTATTCATGTCACATCCCCGACTTACTCCACAGACAATGGCAAATTTATGGGTTTAACTTTCTGCAGAGCTTTTCTGTTTCTATCCACTGCGGGGATCAAGCCTCAGACAGTGTAAGGACCAATTAAATGTGTATTTCCATTTACACAAGGGCCATTAGTTTTGTATATGTGTATTCAGATGTTCTGCTGCAGCCATGTAAATGTGACTGTTACGTTGTGTATACAAGGCTAGACACTGTTTTCTTTGTCTGCTATATATAACCCAAGAAAAACCAAAGCTGTACACATATGTACACTAGAAAGTCTGGAGGTAAGATTTTTTTTAAATCGTTTTTGTAAGAATCTCTTATGCTCACCAAGGTTGCACTTATTTGATAAAACATACAGTAAAAACAGTTGTGAAATATTTTAAATTTCAAATAACCGCCTTCTATTCAAATATATTTTAAAGTGTAATTTATTTCTGTGACGGCAAAGCTGAATTTTCAGCGTCATTATTCCAGTCTTTAGTGTCACATGATCCTTCAGAAATCATTCTAATATGATGATTTGCTGCTCTTGCTTTCTTGTTATTATCAACAATGAAGGCAGTTGAACATTTAAACGGCATTTATTTCTAATAGAAATCTTTTTTAACATTATAAATCTGTTTACTGTCTCTTTTGATCAATTTAATGTGTTTTTGGACCACAGGAGGTTTGGACAACACTGTCATTGGGTGCTTCTCAAACAGAAGGCTGCGTCCAAGTGAAGTTGCATATCTCGGCTGCCACGTCATCAAGCTCCATCAAAGGACGCCTCAGGCCCGGTCCCAAATGGCACCCTAAACACTCGTGGTCTTCCTACGAGTTCGCACTTTAGTGACATAACGCCACTTTGACTGTCGGGAAGAAGCTGCTGCGGAGCTCGCTTCAGTGGACCGCAAAGGAGGCGCTCAAGAGCACCCCTCTGACACCTAAAATTAAAAATGGGACACCCTACGGTCTCGTGGACTTAACGGACACACGCACGTGGCAGCCATTGTAAATCCACAAGACCGTAAGTGCATTTGAGGTGTGCCATTTGGGACAGGGCCTCAATTTATTTTACGCCCCTTCAGTCGGCCTGTTTTGAAGGATGCATCAAATATATCCTTTGCATCCTTCAATCACCCACAACCCTTTGCACACATTCCAATTCACAAAAAAAATTATTATCAGAAAATCTATCAGCACTAAGCTTGTCAAATTTTACTATGTAAGGCAAGACCCCCAAAAAATATTTTTGAGAATAAGGCATTGTTTTCTTATGTTTTGTTGTAAACTGAGACCACAGACAGTTGTAATTACCATTACTGCATTGATAGAATTAGAAAGGCAGTTGATATAAAGGGTTTTAATATAAAGTATTTTTCAAATTATAATTTTAATAGATTTTGACCATAAGGGCAGATAGATTTATGACATTGCCATGCACACTTACAAGACCGATTCATTCTAGTGTTTAATGCGGAGGATGACTCTAAAAGGACTAGACTAGGAAGGGCACAGCCTCACTAGGATACAGCCTTTCAATTGAGAAGCACCTGTTATTTTCATATAAGAACAATTATATAATGCTTGCAGTTGATATTTGAAGCTGGAAAGATATGATGTACTACAAAAACATTTAAAATATGAAACATTTTTACAGATAGAAAAACTGTTACAGATAAACATTGTAAACACTAGGACATGTTTTTACCTGGAGAAGTTTGAGATAAGCATATGAAACTAACTTACCCTTTTAAAGCCCTTAACAAGTATAAGGTCATTGGAAGTAAAAGGTAAACTTGGTCTGTCAGAATGGCACTGACAATCCTCTTGGCAACATAGTCTGGCTCCAATATGGGCAGCAGTCGGGGCCACCTGCACACAAGGCACATGCTTTGATTTAAATGGCTATTTTTTACAAACGGATGAACCCAAAATGCCTGTATGATTGGGTACTTAGAGGATATTTAAGTGCATTTTACATTCATGTCCAGATTAAGAGGAAAATCTATAGCCTTAATGTCTCTTTCACTTACACGTTACATGTCGCTCGCAACAAATACAAAACGCGCTACATGCAATGTTAGTTTCCAACCAGCACCGGATGAGAGAAAGTGGAACTATTCAGACAACATTTGAAGGGTCCATCAATAATACACAAAGTAGCCCCAGCCCTTGGGCAAAGGACCATGCTGAGGGCTATAAAATGCAGAGCAGTTTTTATCATTGCTGTTAAACAACAACAAAACAAAAAACAGCGTCTTCTCAACACGTCAACAACAAACCAAACTCATCCAGTCTCAGCTACAACTAGTGTTTGCGGGTCAAGAAGACATTGTTCACAGGCAGCCAATGAAGACCATAGACTGGCATTATGCAAATTTGTTACAAACCTATGCAGGTTTGAGCAGGAAGAAAGACTGAAATTACTGACGACTCATTTCGGCAGTTTAGAATCTATTCTTTTTTAGGAGACAATAACTTTATTTGTTGTGCATTTTGAAACTTTGCAGACCTTTTACATTTACAAACAGCGGTATTACACACAGCCAGTTTCCATAATAGGGGAACTTGAATGTGGGTTTCGAACAAAAAGCTGAGAAAACCATGTTTTAGTCTTGTTTAGTCACCTATTGTCTTTAGAAAATAATCAAAACATTAGGGGTGTAATGATACCCTCATGTCACGATTCGATACATATCACGATACAGAACTCACTATAGGATATTACTCTACTACTCCAAGACATATGGTAAAATGTTAACAAAAAAATGCACTGTTGAATAAAATGTTAAATTTGGTATTACTTTGTGGGTGTAAATGAATAGGCTTGGACTTGGTGCTGGTAACCCAATGCACAGGACAATAGTCACCCCAGAATAAAAATATTCATCATGATTATAAAGCTGAAAATAAAGAATTATTTTAGAAGAATATGCTTGCACTCTGTCACTGACTAGATATTTAAAATAAATGTAGGCCACTTTTTACTGGTCACATAAGACATTTGGCATTATCAGGACCCACAAAATAATCCATACAAATTCATTCATACAAACGCAGCTGCTGACATTGTGACTATTGTTTTGTACACTGTTGGATTATAAGATACAAACAGGTATGATTTTAAAACGGTTTAATCGGAAATCAATATCTCATCTCCATGTATGTGGCGAAATGCTGCGTCCTCATCACCCTGTCGGGGGTTTATTTTGAGGGAACAACCGGCTGGATGTACATGATCCCTTACTTATATTCAACATTATATATAGTACTTCAATGTAGTACTGAAACCAAAACTCTGCAAACTTAATTTTTTTCCTCACAGTAATTTTCATTTTGGGTGAAGTATACACGATACATATTGTTGCATTTTTGAATTGTGACACGATATATTGTAACACCCCTACAAAACATACTATAGATGGATCAAGATCAAGTCCATCAACACCATGAAAGCTTGTTGTTAACTCTTCACGGGCTTGATATTTTTCTCTGTACCATTAGACAGTTTTGATGTGCTATTGAAAGTTTGGTAATCACGTAAGCTTACTTGTGTGTAAACAAATTCTATCAGCTTTTTCTGGTTTACGCAGACCTTTTTCTTCACTTGTATTTTGAGCCGGAGATGCTGTACTATTTCAGAAGACCAATAATAGTGAAAACATGGATTGCTGGAAAAACTTGTCAATGACAGGAAAGCGTTAAAAAAGCTGCAATAAACCATTTAGTGACACAAACATTCTTTCCCTTGGAAAGTCTGATCATAGTAATTTAAGTTGCGTTTGCGTCAACGATGCTTTGTTTGTCAAGCTCCATGAAGCACAGTCAAAGTCTGTCTCTATTTTGATTGTATACATTTACAAAGCAGTGTGCAAAATCCTGCCTACAGAGATTCTGATTATGGCTAATAGGAAAACGACAAAGAACTGAGATTGAATAGCCCTGAAATGATGTCCTTTCGACAATTTGAGAGTGAAGCGATATTGAGAGATTGAGCATGATCTTAAAAGTAGGTGTTTTTCTTTAAATGACGTCTTCAGTTCCCTGTTCAAATGCTGCCGCTTTAAATTAAAAATGTGTTTGGGGATGAAGTGCACTGTAGAAAAATATATTTTCATGATTTGATGACAACTTTTTATCTTTTGTAAAATCAACCTATATAATTAATGTGGTTCAGATAACATAATTTTTTGTTTCTATTTATTAAACCAATCTCCTTCATTATATTAACTCAAATTTTTTATTTCAATGAACTCAATTTTAATGCAACCAGGTAACTTACTTTAAGTTAAGCCAACAATAATTTTTTACAGTCTATTCCAGCATTGTTTATTAGTATGGAGACGTCACCGATTTCATTTTTTACCTAGAAGTCAACAAATAATCAATATGAGTAAGATTCTGGACAGTTGGCTTACTTTGTATTGCAGCCATCAAACAGGCCTGTGTTGATGAGGTATGGGCAGACGATTGTAGTTTTGACTCCATCCTTCCCCGCAGATATCAGCTCATATGCCATAGACTCGGCAAAACCCACAGCAGCAAACTTGCTTGCGCAATAATCTGTGTGGAAAAGATAGGCAAGTTAGGAGACATTTGTACAAACGTGGTAGTGACACTGCAAGGTAAACCAGTTTTAGGCATTTCAGAAACCAGCTCATTAAAATCTCCATGTAGTAATAACTGTAGTAATTGTGTATTAAAAATTTGTGTTCATTCATATCTGCTGACAAACTTAAAAAAACAACATCATACATTTCTTGCTAAACATGTTGTTTGAAAGAAAGTCCCTGAAGGACTTTGTAGCACCTCTGGTGAGAAAGCAGTTGTGTAAGAGATAAGAGGACATGGGTGAATGCTTTACCTGCCAGTCCATTGACACCTATCAAGCCTGCAGAACTAGCAACACAGACCAGATGTCCATGGTTCTTGTCCGTCATGGCGGGCAGAAATGCTTTATAGGTCTAAAACAGAGACATAACCACAAATGGACACTTATACAGAAAAGTGGCTTAAAAAAAAACAAAGTGCCATAAAAATTTGATAGATGGAGAAAAAATATCAATCCTACCCAAAAGTGGGACATTGCATTAACTTTGAGTGTCTTCTCAACAATTGCATCAGGAGTGTCCATGAACTTATTACCACTGACTATTCCAGCATTGTTTATTAGTATGGAGACGTCACCGATTTCATTTTTTACCTAGAAGTCAACAAATAATCAATATGAGTAAGATTCTGGACAGTTAGATCAAGATCTCAAATTAACCATTTACTAAAGTTAAATGTCATTATATCAATGTCATTATATTATGGTGTACCATTTGGTTAGCCATACATAAATGTATAAATAAAATAAATAACTCGGGTGGCCAAATGGACATATACCTTTAGGAGTGACTGTCCCTAAAAAAAACTTTTTATGAATTTAAAAAAATATTTTGATTTTGACCAATCAAAATCAAGTATTGGTTGCCAGAGACAACAGAGCAGCAGGAATGACATCACTTTGTAGGCCAAAACACAGAAGCGAGTTACCGTTTTAGCACTTCCGACCGGGCCTCCCGTCCCGAAGCCAATGGGTTTTTTTTTAATGGGGTTTTGGTTAAATGCCTGAAATAAGGTCTGTGGTGAACACAAGCTCAAGACACTTTCACGTTTTATTCTACGAGATAAAATACATCATTATGCTTACAGTTGTGCTCTTATAAACTATTCTAACTCAAAAGTTCTAGGAAATTGTTTTTAGATAAAAGCTGAAAGAGTTGTCGGAAGCTTAGTGATGGTGACGTTAAATTCGTGGGACGGTGGTGTAGTTCATTTATAGCCTACCTTTAGCTTTTTTAATTATCTTGGACAAAACGTCCAAGTGTCTTTTGCTGCAAAACATTTGCTGATCACAGAGCTTGTTTTTAGTGATAAACCAAAGGTCTATGGGGAAATCCTATTGGGGTTTTCTCAAGGGAACTAGCGATGCTAAAAGCCGGTTGGCCTACAAAGTGACGTCAGTACTGCACTACTCTATGGTCCAATAGTTTAGCAATCATGAAACAATAATATATGACAACAGAATGCCACGACTGACCAATCAGAATCAAGTACTGGTTGCCAGGGACAACGGTCCAATATATTGTTTAGCGCTCATTAGGCAAAAATAAAGGACTGCAGAATGTCACAGGACTGACCAATCAGAATCAAGTGTTAACAAGTGCAGTTATAAGGACATTTAAAAGTGATGTAGAGGTGTGTTGCAATACCTTAAATAATGCATAATGATGTTCGAAAAATCTTTTGTCTACAGTATTTAACTCCAATTATGTACTCAGACCACTTCAGGTTTTGAATTAAATACTCTTCATTCCAGGCAAACAGCTCACAAGAGCAGGTTTGAACTTGGATTACCTGATCTGCCACTCGGTAGACCACATCTCTATCACCGCAGTCACACTGATAGTAATGTACCCTTGACGCTCCTTTTTCTTTAACCTGCTTTGCAGTTTCTTTCAAACCATCCACATTAATGTCCCAAAGCACCAATGAGACGTCCAGTGGGGCAAACTCAAGGGCCATCAGTCTGCCAATGCCACAGCCTGCCCCAGTGATGAGCACAATCTCCCCAGACACATCTTTCTTCCTCTGAGGGACGAAGAGTTGTACAAGTAATTCCAGGTGGTAGTAGATGGTTAACACTATCAACTGAAGAGTCTCCAAGAAGAAGTTCATTTTGAGAGGTGCAGAAGACCTTATGAATAACATGAAGAAGAAGAAAAGAACAATGAATCACTGTGTGACTAAGACAGGCTTATACAAACACTGCAGAAAACCAGTGTAGTGAGAAACACATTGAATGAAAAGTAAACTAGTACTTTATGTTCCTGTGTCAGTCATTAAAACCTAAGTTTGTACAGCTAATATAAGCCTGAAGAAGGTCTGTTAGACAATGTAACACGGTTTACCTTACTGTGCGAGATACAACGTCCCCGGAAGATGATGAATTGTTCTCTTGCAGGTCGCAGGCGGTAACGTTAAACAAATATTTGTTCTTCAAATTAACACATGAACCAAAGACGACGAAAGCTCGCGCAGACGTTAAGAATGACGTTACTACCCACTCCTCCTCTTCGACTTTGTGGGGAGACTACAGACACACTACTTAACCAGTACGGCAGGTTACCTGGAGTTTACCTGTGTGAGTGAAGTCGGTCCACGGGACGGGCTAAGTGAGAAACACTGCGGTCACGTGACTCAGCTGACTGCACTGATTTGTGGGAGTTGTTGATTCCACCGCTTCAGACCTATGCTCCAGACCCAGACCAGACACGTCATCTCGCCCGCCATCTTGCAACGGTCAGCGAGTCACTCACAATTAGATCAATGTTGTGAAAGCGCCGAGATTTAAATTCCCGAAGATATTGGATAACTTTCACAGGTGAGAATGTATGTATATGTATTGACTAAAAATTGTGTTTTTACTATGGCAAAAACGTATGTTTTTTTATTTAATATGGCAACATTTAATGTCTTATCAGCTGACGCCTTCGAAGAATACAAATAAGTTATATTTTCCGTCACAGAATAAAAAATAAAAAGGGTAATTGCGACTTTTTATCTCACAATTCCGACTTTTTATCTCGCAATTGCGTGCTATAAAGTCAGAATTGCTAGATATAAACTAGCGAACCGCGAGAAATAAAGTTAAAATTGCGTGATATAAAGTCGCAATTGCATAGTCAGAATTGCGTGTTATAAAGTCAGCGCAACGGGAAGGTAAAACTTTATTTTCCCTGGGTCTACGTCGTCGTTACCCTGTTGTGGAGTTGTAATTTAAAAAAAAAAAATTATCACACTTTTCTTTACAGGGATAATAACTTGCTCAGTCCGGGGTGGCTATTGTTATTGTACAGGTCATATTTATGGCTTTTAATAACTTTAATAAAACCCGTATTCTTTTCCAAACCTTGTCAACAATACGTGTTGCTTTAAGTGTGACATTTCCTTCAGCTGCTTTTAATTATGAGAGGGGATTTTCCTAAGAACCGATTTCCCCAAGACTCAGTATTAACAGCCTTAATAGTCATAAATGATTTTTTTTAACAGCCTTGCTTTGCTGGATGCATATAGACAGGTCCATGGGAGCATGCAGTTTCTCCTCATTTACATGGTTTAAATCAGATATGTAAAAAAATAGACATTTGGTTTATATCTGACTGGCTGGTTTAATTTATTAGTTCCTGTACTATTTCATCTGCCCCTCTAACTGATCATGCCTGTATCGATGTTAAAATATCTGAGGTTTAGAATTAGAACAGTTCCAGACGGCCAGGATACTGGAAACCGAATACTTCTTTCACACAATATTCTTCATATTGTTCAAGTATTAGGAACATCATTGGAAATTTTAAAGTTAATTCAGATTCAGCAATCACAAAGTGGGAACTTTTGAATTATAAATGTCAAAAATTCTCCGTTTGGTAAGTAAATTTCTAAGGCAAATGATTTGAGAAGCTCTGTGATCATAAAGCAAATAAATAATATTTTATGTTTATCCTCTCCTAGTGAACAGGACAAGGAGACGCTGTATTCACTGTTCTTTATGCTGAGAAGGCCAAAGGTGCATTTTTCAATTCAAGGGCAAAGTGGCTATAGAATTTGGAGAGGAATTCCACATATATTTTTTTTTATTTAGAAAAAAAAAGAGAAGAGGTGAGTGGAAAAGGATTTCTTCTCTTGATATTGATGGCACTTTGACTTAGCTTGGCCCAGGAGAAATGTATATGGTTTCATATACCCAATTTGTAATGCGAAAAGTGTGGCGGATTAAAATTTCTGCTACCATTTGACTTCAAATGTAGTAAGTTTCCCATTATATTTTCTAAGTTTCATGCAGTCTCTAGAAGCTTGGAAATTAGCCTTTTTAAACATAATGTCTCTCTACACTCATACTATGGAATAACCAAAATGTGTTATCTAAGAACAAGACTTTATTTAAAAAAGAATGGTTTGATAAGGGAATTATTTTTGTTTCAGATTTGCTAAATGGTAATGGTGAAGGTCATACGTATCAACAATACTTCCAGATTACCATAAAGGCATCTCATCTAAATTGCTTCACCTTGTGAAAACACATATCCATTATAACTCAACTGTTGGGCAGATTCCAAAACACTTTATTGGAGGTATTAATATTAAATGATTAATCAAGTTTTTAGTGAACATAGTCAAAGTATTCAGGAGTCGACTACCTATTCAAAAAAATCGAATCTAGTAATTGAGATGGATCATCAGCACCCCCTCAGAAATCTCCATCTATCCATTTATGTAATTAGCTGCATAAGTAATTTAACTTTACATCATGCCTGGCTAGCAATGATCTTAAGCCTTGAACATATAAAAAAAAATAGTGCAGTCTCTCAGACATTATTGGTCAAGTAAGTGGTGAAAATATGAAAAGTTGGGTCTTAATAAGCTACTGAAGAGGGCCATTGAGGCAGTGACACTGTAATAATGGAGAATATATTCTACTTGCGAAATGGCTTAATTTGTAAGAAACAAATATCTCACTGAGACATTACACTTCTGCAGTAAGATGAATTTATTGTATTCTGTACAGCTAATGGCTTTGATTTAAACAAGAACAAAAGCTGTTGAAAAGTTGTTAAAAGAAATGCATTAATCATCGAGTTCAGACGGCAAACTTAACCTCACTACAATGTTCAATGGGCGAAGCAGACTAGCTAATGTGATGAGATTCTCAGAGAACAAAGCAACACAGTGAAAAGTGCTTTTCATTCGTCATGATGTGACCCAGAAATAGTTAAAGTATCGTCCTCTGTCTTTACCAAATGTGCCATTTGATGGGTGATTCAATTGTAAGCACAGAGATTGTGAAAATATTATTTCTTCTTTTTAAAACACAAACCCTAGTCACAGAGAACACAAATGTACATTGTACATTATGGAGGAATATTCAGCAGCAAAGACAAAAATAAATAGTCATTTAAAATGGCTTCACATGAAATTGGTACAGTGCAAACTCTACACAAAGTAGGAATAGGTCATTTAGGATGGGTGTCCATGTTTTAATTCTAATCCATGAATCCTCCATATCTCTTCTGCATGCCAGGCAGTGCCGTCTCGCCTCCGTCCTCGAAAGTACGTTTCAGAAACCCATTGCTTTTCTGGCTGTCCAACCATTCAGGCCTGCCCACTCTGCGCATAAACCCCCCGTATCGCTTGTGCTGGTCTCTCCCTGCCTCCCCTAGACCACTGTTCCCCTGTACGCTCCTCATGAAGCCCCCATAGCGTTTGACCATGTCCCCATCATGCTGCTCATCTGACTCTGAGGTGAGAACGAATCTGAGGATCTCTCTCAGCATCTCCACTTGCTGATCTTCAGCTCCACCCTCTGCCTTGTCCTTCTTCATAAAGCCTCCATATTTCTTACTGATGAGCTCTGTGCCGTCACTCTCTGCTTGGGCCCCCGTGCCGATCTCTGCTGCTTTCTTAATCATGAAGCCCCCATAACGCTTCATGAAGCCTCCGTATTTCTTGGTGAGAAGGTGGTCTGCGCTCTCTTCCTCTTGCTTGAGGCTGTCGATGGCAAGGCGATCCTCTTCTGAGAGGATGTTTTTGCAGACTTCTAGTTTTCTGGAGTCCACAGTCCCTTCACACTCTAATGTGCAGGTCTAGAGGAGAAATGAATGGCCGATCAATGCAAGGAAACATTTGGTCCACCAGAGGGCACACACATTCAGTCTGCTGAATTCAGTGCAGCTGCACAATAAAGATAAAGAGTGCCAATAATTACTTCTGACAATCTGCACGGTGGAAAATGTCAATTCAGTGAAGCACTCTGAAAACCCGGTCACAAGAGAAAAAGAGATAGCTAGACTTGAAGAACTTGCTTTGAATTGGTTTTGATTTGAATATTATGCTACAGCACAATTAGCTCTAAGTGAAAATGATCTCACTTGTGCTTGTATACTGCTTTCACATAAGAATACAAAATATAAAACCAGACATTTGACTAGAGTCTATAATGTTCATCTTTTGCTCAAATTTAAAGTCACATTTTCCATAACCCTGGTGGAAGGTGACATAAGCAAGGTGACATAACCCTTGCGAAAAATTGGTAAGTGTACTTACTTGAATTGAATGTGACATGTTGTATACTTTTAAGTCTTAAAAGAATATTAAGAGTATATCATAATTTCAAAATTTTACTATAAAGTACATTTTAAATAATGTTTGAATCTCTTTTTTCACGCTTTAATGTTTACTGACATAATAAAAGCACATGCACACAGTAATTAATTATAATTATGTCTGTAGTGTTATTCAATATTACATTTAAATAAAGTAATCACAAATATATTTAAATATATGACATGTAAGTTTCAATAGAAATTACATTAAAGTATATTTAGTTTACCGTAATGCTTGTCAGCAATTGTATTCATAACACAGTAAAAAAAGGTTGCTTTTTAAGTACAATCAACTTGGCATTCTTGGCATGTTTACGTCATTTCAACTTAAATGACATTAAACTGACTTTTAATAAATTAGTTGAGTCTTATATAACTTCAAAAAGTTGAAAATTGCTTAACTTATTTTGATGAGTTAAAGCAATGTAAAAACATGTCGTCATAACTTATTGATCATATTTCTTTTTTTAATTATAAAATTACAAAGATAGTCAAAAAAATGCGAATTGCATTTTATATCAATTTAAACTATAATACTTTTCATTTAACTGCAATTAAGAGTCCAAAAACATTACATTCATTGATTTAAGAACACCACGGGGCTCGTTTAATCTGGCAAACAACCATTGCCTTAAAAGTAAAAAAAAAAAAAAAACATTTTTCTCCGTTTCTCATTTAGCATCTTTATTGCAAATAAATATTGCCAAGACTTAAATATAGGAGAGACCATTGCAAGTTATCACACATTTTACTCAAGTTAATATTTCTAAGGTTTGAAAGTCAATTTTTGTATTTGAGTTCAAAAAGGTAGTATTGAACATTTCTACCATAAGAAAAAGAAGTGAACTGAACAGTTCACCATGTTGTCTCACAATAAGGGAAAGTCGTCACGATAGAATGCCATTCTGTAAAAAGTAAAACAATTATGAAACAGCTAAAAAAAAATGTAAAGGGTAGCATTCAACAATGTCAACTTATATTATAATTAATATGAAATCCACGTGTGACAACTAGCCCCGACCTGACTTCTATGAAAAATAGCCTAGTCTTGTCCTGAGAACACAGCTTAACCTTTTAGTTCAAATCTATGGTCATGATATAGTTTCAGACTTTTGTCGGAATATATATATGTAAATGAAACTCACCAGTGTGTCGATCTCTGTCTGTTGCCGGAACAGCCGGTAAACGCAGAGCGCGCAGTCTCTGCCGCATTCAGCTCGAACCATCAGCACGAGACAGGCGCTCAAAGCCAGAGTCCACCAGGAGTTCATTGTTAACGCCATGGGCTACAAACGAGCAGTTTACCTTTACTTACATGAGGAAAATGTAAAGCAATCTGTGGTAGAGTCTTGAAAATTTGACATAAAAGTGGTAAATATAACATGCATCTATAGGCTATGAGCGCGTAAAATGTATTTATAGGCTACGCGCATTTGCGCATAAAATAACCCATCAAAAGACCAACCAAGTAATCCAGCAAATTAAATAATTAGTTAATGATAAAGTTGAATTATCCTACTTTAAATTCTGTAAAAAGTTTACCTGTTTACAGTAGTCTAGTTTCTTGGCAGTGTCCACCGTAGTGCTAAATATGTTGTTTTAGAGAAAGATCTCTCGCCGGGTCTGGTGCAGAAGCGTCTTCAGTATCTCACAGCACGAGGATAAACTCCACACCTGCTCTGTTGAGAAACGGTGGACAACTTTTAAGCAGTGTGCCCTCGTGACGACACGCCGTTCGCATCTGACGTCAGCAGGAAGCATCACGCAGAGTGACCGGGTTTTTTTTTTTTTGCCTGAGAAAATCAATTAATGTATGATATTTTTCGATCCTCGAAATATAATTAGGTTAAGGTGATCAACAGTGCATTTGTTGGCAAGTAGGCTACTGTGAATATATCAATATTATTTGTCATGCTGAGACTTAATGTTCTGCAGTCCAGTTTGCTACTGCTTTTAATGTAACATAATGTTCTATTGACCCACATTGGCCATCATTTAAAAAAAAAATAAAAAAAAAAATAGGTTGATTCCCTTCAGTTCAGACAACAAAGCAACAGTATTTTTCCATATTAGTCTTTTTTTGTTGAGGGCCTATTGTGCTGAAGAGTGCATGCTGTTCTGGGTTTTTTTTCTATGAGCATTGGGGACTAATGCGGTCTGGGTAGACAGCATACCTCTTAAGACAGGTAGTGTTCGAGAAATAATAGACTTATGTGTACTCAATCCAGCCATTCAATCTGTGGCTTTGTCTTGAGCATCATCGTGCCATGCAGTGTAGGCTACCATGATCAGTATCAGTATTATTGTGCCTGTTTTGTCTGAGATCATTGTTTTGCATCCTTCATATTATGTCTGCAGTGTTTTTAAACATCTGTCGCAGCATTTTGACAGTTGTATCATAACATTTAGTCCCATTTGGATATTTGCTCATTTGTTCGAATATCAATTTACAGGAAACGTCAAACTCTTCCTCATTGAGCCCATTCAAAGCTGACGTCATTTATAGGCACTTCAAAAGTTATCACAGGAAATTATAGATCTTTCTATTGCAGATTCCACGTAGCCTGAAGCATACGAAATTGGTTGTCAGGACATTAACGGCCATCAATTAGAGGCTTTGGATTCTGGAAATGACTGCTAATTCTTTAGACTCGTTTTAAACTGTATGCTGTAAGGCGTTAAATGAGATTGAGAAGAGGATAAAACGAATTTTATATTTTTTTGATCCTATTGACTGCATGGAATTCAATACTTTAAAGTTGTGATGAAACCGTAGTAGAGATTTAGAGATCTTCTCTAATAGTGATGTACATCTGAGTAAAAAAGAAAAACATGTAAGTTATAGGGACTTGGTGTTATAGGGACGCTGATGACGTGTGATGCCTCGCGAGCAGGTGTGCGGAGGTATAAAAATACATACGCTGACAGGCAGGTAGGACATCGTATCATTGCATTTGGACCGAAGACAATGATTGGACGAACATTTTGTGGTCCACAGACCATATATAAATAAATGTAGACCACTTAACTAAGTGATTGCAATCAGGATGTGAAGAGACTTTCAACCAGCACAACAAAAATGTTTCTGGAACAAATCACCTTATTCTTATTATGTACATCTATATTTCAGTCCAAAACCTCTGCTGATAGAAGCATCTTCATAGGTAAATGACTTCACATCAAATATCACAGTGCTATGAGCCACTAAACGTTTCAGAACAACACAATTAAAGCCCATAAACACATTTCTCTAATTATGCAGGTAGAAATATGGTGGCAATAAGATTTCAAAGACAACATCAGGGCTACTAAACTCCTTTCTTGAATCCAATTAAGAAACCCTGTTCTTGGAAATGGTCATTAATTTTAATCAGTTTAAAGTAGAAGTAGAAGTAATGCTGTTCTTATTAATTCAGCAGACTCTATGAGGACAGATTTGACAGACCTCTGCACATAATCAAGCACTTAGTCACTGTCTTACATTAAGTAATCAGTCATACCGCTTTTAAAAATGCTCTATGCTTTTTATGAATTCTGAATCAAACATCTTTTGATAATGGATCAGTGTAACAACCCTCTCGACGCTAACATGTTGGTTTTCCTCATAAAGCGATGAAAATGAATCCAACTTTCTTCTAGGCTGACAATGAATCTTATCTGTAAATGAATAAAATAAAATACCAAATGTGAGGCCATGGAGATTGCAACTAGTAACACTGCAGTGTGGACCTGTTTTAAGTGGCAATTTGAATAAATGCCACTATAGCTGTAATGTGCTGCTGGGGATTTTGAAAGCATCATATTGATCCATAAAACTCAGGGGAATTACAAGGTGATGATGGTTTTGCTTGCCGGGGGGGTCATAGCTGGAAATATGCTTGTGAAGCACACCATTCCACTCTCACTGGCATGTTATCTTCATAAACTCTACAACAAAGTGGTAGTTTCATATTAATGAGCTATGAAATTTATGTAAATCTGTATTTTATGTTGACAGGTTTGTGCATATTTAATCACGGTATTAAAAGTTTAAATTGGCGCTGACCTAATGTTATAGGGTTAGTTCACCCAAAAATGAAAATTCTCTCATCATTTACTCACCCTTATGTCTTTCCAATCATGTAGGAAATCATGTCTTCTTTCTTCTCTGTATGGTCAAAAAAGCATTCTTTATATATTCTCAGTACATTTCTTTTTCTTTTTTGGGTGAATGATCCCTTTAACCCTATGGACCAGCGGAATTATCTTTGAAAAGCTTTCGTTTAACGACAAGCACACATGAGATATGAGCGTAAATGAATCCTGAGGGAACAACAAAGCATCTGAGTACTCTGCCTTTTAAAAGCTTATAACTAACACTTATTTTAGGACATGCCAGCCTTGACTGTTTGAAACACCATGACCTGCTGGATTTCCAATAGAATGGAAGTCCACAAAAGAGACTTAATGGGATGGTTCACCCAAACATGAAAATTCATTTGTTCATCCTCATGTCTTTCCAAACCTGTACGGCTTTCTTTTCTCTATGAAATAATTTGAGAAACATCTCAGTGTTTTTTCGGAAGTCAGTGCAAAACTGTTTGGTTAGATAAGGGTTCTTAATTGGATTGCATGAAGAACCTTTAACATCCATGGAACCTTTCCATTGCACAAAAGAAAAAAAAAATTTTTTTAAGAACTGTTCACTGAATGGGTCTTTTACCTCGTTTCCACCAAAAAAGAACTGGTTCGGAACTGGTGCTGGTTCAAAGTTGGTTCAACTTGCGAACCTTCTCAGAACCTGTTTGTTTTTCCACTGACTTTTTCCCAGTAACCAGCCCTCGACGTAAGCATGACGTGGTAAAAGAACGGTTCTAGTCCAGCAAAGAGTTGGTGCCGCTTTGGAACCAATTTCCCTGGCCGAGAACCGGTTCTTTGGCTGTCGAAACACAAAGAACTGGTTCTCGAGTAGGCACCGGCTCCGAACCGGCTCTCAAAATGCTTTGGTGAAAAAGGGGTATTTGAGGAACCCAAAATGGTTCTTCTGGCATCACTGCGAAAACCCCCGTTTGGAACTTTTATTTTTAAGAGGGACCCAACATTCTTCAAAATAACTTATTTTGTGCTCAGCAGAAGAAATAATACATTTCTTTTCTTTTAGGATGAACTATCCCTTTAATATAAACCTCTGAATTTAATAAAATGTCACTTTTTTCACTTTTTATCAAACCAAACTCAAACTGTTAAAGTTTGAAATGAAATCACAAAAATCAGCTTCCACAAATTAAACTAAAAGATAATTGGTGCACAATTAAATATGATTGTGCTGTGTAGTTTGGGTATAAGAAGACTTTTTTTTTTTTTTTTTTATCAGCTCTCATATTCAATTTCCTGCAGGGTGAAGAAGGGATATCAGCACCATAATTACATTGTCACTCAGGGTATGGCCGAACAGCACCAATGACAGGAACAGTTAATTAAATTCTGCCACACATATGAGAGCACTAGGCTATTGTGTTATCACTGATTTGCCATCAGCAATAACTTTTATATTTACACCTTCTTGAGTGGATAAGATACTGAACATTGAGGGTGAGTTATGCAAACAGGAAGAGCTGCTCTTTAGGGCTGCTTTTGAGTGTGATAATATATGCTTAGACCGGAGAAGATAAGTAATTTAGTTTTCCTGCAATTATTACATTATTAGTCACTTCAGTTATTAATTCAACAGAGGGGTTTGATTGTAGAACAGAAATGCCTAATTTATTACTTTTTTATTTAAAAAAAGATCTCTTTAGGTATGAACTTTTTTGAAGTGTCAAGTTGCCAGTTGCGTGGACTGTCAATGGAGGGACAGAAATCTCTCAGATTTCATCAAAAAGATCTTCATTTGCATTCTGAAGATGAACGAAAGTCTTACTGGTTTGGAACGACATGAGGGTGAGTATTTAATGACAGATTTGTAATATTTGGGTTTAAAAATCCTTTAAATACAACCTAAATACTGGAAACTCATAACGACAGATTTGTTGTCAGACATGAAATTACGCCATTATTCACTATTCTATTCTAATGTAAGAGAAATTCGATCATTAACCAGAACAAAACAATGCTTAATTTGTATTTGTTTCCTTTTTTCATTTATTCATTTATATTTAGCTATAACATGCATCAAATTTATAATTTATGAGATGTCTAAAATGATTCCTTCCACTGATAAATTTGCAATGTCTAGCTGTGTTTTTAAACACGTACAAACATCTCAAAGGCACATTTCACTGTTTGTCATTCACATTTGCTTCAGGTACATTTTGTGTTCATTTTAACGCAACATCAATTAAATGCTTAATTCAAATTAACATTAAAAACGTCCACTTTCTCCATTAATTCATCCAAAGATCAATATTTACATAAAACATGGAGTGGCACTAACAGATCTTTGCTGGGTCAATTGTGCACCTTGTCCACATTTGTGAGCTCACAAACAACAACTGAATTAGAAAGATTTAAAAAATGTTCAAGCTGTTAATATAGTTACATAGTTGTAGTAAACTTCGAATTTTAGAAGTGCGTATGTATATATATATATATATATATATATATATATATATATATATATATATATATATACACTCACCTAAAGGATTATTAGGAACACCTGTTCAATTTCTCATTAATGCAATTATTTAATCAACCAATCACATGGC